AAGGAAGAATGTCTTAGGAGATCAGTGACTGTGTTAAAGGACCAGGCACAGGTGACTTAGTCCTTTCTGGATTACTCCTTCCAAATCAAGCTACCTGCAAACAGCAAACACTGCAGGACACAAATCTTCAAAACAGCTATAAGATCTGAGGTCTGGGCCTGAACCTGTCTTGTGGTTCAGTGAATCTAACTGATTCTGGGGTGGGTTATTAGCAAGCCTGTAGACCTAAAGTCACAGCTATTTTTTTTTTTAAATTTTTTAAATTTTTATTTATTTATGATAGTCACAGAGAGAGAGAGAGAGAGAGAGAGAGGCAGAGACATAGGCAGAGGGAGAAGCAGGCTCCATGCACCGGGAACCCGATATGGGATTCGATCCCGGGTCTCCAGGATCGCGCCCTGGGCCAAAGGCAGGCGTCAAACCGCTGCGCCACCCAGGGATCCCTAAAGTCACAGCTATTAAACTTGTCCATTGCATTTATGGTGATATTAAGATCTCCCATCTTCCAGTTCCTGGGTCTAGCTCACAATTAGACCCAAATTTGTGAACAGAAAATGGGAGTATTTTTAAGCCCCCTAAATCTCCAAATTGAGCATTTACTAAGTAAAAAACAATAATGCTATCAGAGATGGCAAGGACAAATAAGATATGATCCCTATCTTCCAGGAATAAAATATAGCAGAAAAAACAAATACACTACTAGGTAAAATATAATGTTTTAATAGAAGTATATAATATTATGTGGGCCCAGAAAAGAAAGTGAATAATTGTTATTCGCAAAAGGGAAGTATGGGAGTAGGTGGTGCGGGTAATTTAGAAAGGTTTTATAAAAGCTATAGTTATCTGATGTCCATTTTTGAAGAATGGACATTAAAATTTTTAATCAGGGAAGCCCCAGTGGCCCAGTGGTTTAGCGCCGCCTTCAGCCCAGGGCATGATCCTGGAGACCCGGGATCGAGTCCCACGTTGGGTTCCCTGCATGGAGCCTGCTTCTCCCTTTGCCTGTGTCTCTGCTTCTCTCTCTCTCTGTGTCTGTCTCTCATGAATAAATAAATAAAATCTTAAATAAAATAAAATTTTTAATCATACAACAAAGGAAAAAGTGATAATTTTAATGGAAAGAAAATGAGACAAAAAGGAATAAAAACTATTAATAAGGGTCATGAAAAAACTAATGGGGCAAGAGTGACAAGGGAAGGGCTATAATATAATTCAACACAATCAAGGTAAGAGATCTGTTTGGGAGATTCTCAAAAGAGAATTAATAGGATTTCCTGACTCCTTAATGTGAAGGATCAGGAAAAATGTTTCCAGATAATGTGTCTGGTTATATGTCAAAGCTATCTAATAAAAGGAAAATTTAGGAAAAGAAAGTCTTTTGCTATAACAGGATATAAACCGACATAATGAATTTAATTTAGACATTCTGATGTACAGAAATGGCAATTGTTTAGAAATTCAGACCTAGCTAATACTCAAGGGAAAGTTCTGGCCTGGTCAATTATAGTGGAGCATTGTCTTCATATGTATTGGGATGCAAATTTTTAATAGAAGTACAATTTCAGGGGCAGAATGAGTGGGGCAAAAGAAAACTGAAGATGGAAGTAGGAAAGACACCTATCTTTGTGGGGTGGGAAGGAAGTGAAGCCTGCAAGAGGAGACTGTCATAACCAAAGCACAAGAAAGAAAATCTGTAGAGGGTACTGAACAGGGGAGAGGTTCAAGTGACAGGGTGGTTAATGCAAAATGTTGTAAGACGCTGCTGAACAAACAGGGAGCCAGTGTAGTTCTTGGAGGAATTTCAGTACTATAGATAGAGCCATGGTAAGGAGAAGTCAGACTGCAGAATTTACTAGGAGGTAAAAAAATGGAGGCAGTAAGTGGAGACTACCCTTTCACAAACCTTCACTAAGGCTATGATTTCTATGAAAGGTCAAGAAAGAAGATAAAGCATTGAAGAAAAGTAACTATTCCCATGGCTCTAAAAATAAATGTGTCTGAACATTTAAATAATAATTTGTTTTAAAGCCTGAGAAAGAAAAGGTTAATGGTAGGCCTGTAACCTACCCCTTCCCAAACAGGGCATGAGGGGGAATGAATGATATGAAATATTCCCTGAATAAAGATGGAGGAAAAGTTAAAAAACATTGACTAGCCTTCCTTGTAAACATTCAGTGATATTTGCTAGTGAAAATATATACATCTTCAGTAGGAAATAGTCTTTCTAAACCTTTTACTGTAAATAAACCCTAAATTTGATTTATGAAGCATGACTAGATTCAGCAATGGGATAGTTCATACTTGTGTTTGTTATTTGTGTATTCAACAGAATATATAATGAAGGCACTTAAAAATGGAAATGGCTTCCTTTGCAAACAATGCTTCTACACGCACTATAAAACCTGGGCCAAACCATCCTAATAAGAGAGAAAAAATGGATCTGGTGGTTTGGGACTCCCTGAAGAAAAGAATACGTCATCTGTGCCTGGTGCTCCTTCATCTTTGAATCATTAGTGAACTATGGTGTTGGATATCAAGTCCGCTTTGACAATTTTCTGCTTTGTACTGACACAAAACTTCATTCATTTTACAAGTTAGTGAAGATACTTCAGAAAAGGGCATGGAGGGGTTGGTACAACAGCATACAAACATTCATTAAAATGGTTTAGAATCAGTAAATTATTTAACTTTTATAGTTCATTAGGCCATGGAAACATGTCACTATTTTAAGAATATGAAATTATGTTTGAAAAATTTTCTTTAACATTTTATGTCCTGTGTATAAATTAGGCATTCATTTAAGAAGTTCTCTGGTCAATATGAGAAACTAAGTAACTGGGACAAGCCTCTAAACTTCCCTCTCCCTACTCTGCAACATTCTGCCCTGGGACTTTATGCATTTTCCAAAGAGAACAAAGTCACCACTGTTGATACTGTGATGTTCTGCTTCAAAGCTGCTGATAGGTATGGGCAAAAAATGGCATTTGAGGTCCTTATCCTCCAGACCAATAAGAATCTACAACTTGTGTAATTTTCTTGATGAAAACTTATCTCACTTTATGTTGTTCTTGGCAACGGAGTTAACCACAATAAATTAAAGATCATTGATCATACCAATTCCTGCCCCTTGGTCCTTTTTCATTTGTTAATGGAGAATTTCTATTTAGTAATATAGACTGAATATAGGTTTCAATTATATTTTTCTTCTATCAAAAGTAAGTACACTCAGACTTCTCTATGACCAGTACAAAAATTGTAGCCAGATTGTCTACAGGCTATTTTAAGAATATTACTTAAGAGGTTAAATTCACTAATACATAGATTTGTGAATTCTATGCCTCTAGAGTAACAAAGGAACACATGCTAGATAGGTCAGCATAATAAACCTGTGGTATCCAATATAGTAGCTACAACCCATAAGTGGCTATTAAGCATTATGGAAGAAAGAATGTAAAATATCTATAGTTTTTAATTGATTATATGTCAGAATGATATTTCAGATGTATATTGGGCTAAAGTATTAAAATTAATTTCACCTTTTAAATATGGCAACCAGAAAATTAAAAATTATACATGTGGCTTGCACTATATCTCTAGTAGATAGTACCTATATAAATGATATTAAAAATGTTAGGGTGTTGTTATATAGTCAGAATATTCTACTAAATTGAGCAATTCTATTCTGTTTTAATACCAACTGGAAACATATAAGAAAATAAAAATAAGTAAAAACTATAAAAATATCTTTCTTTCTACTCTTGTATTTTTTCTTGAGGACGAGGTATATTCTATAACAAAAGAGAAAAATAAAACAATTTCAACTGTGATTTTATAAGAGCCTATAGCCATTTCAACTAAAATTTCTAATACAAATATAAAAAATATATAACATATAAGTTAGATTCCACTGTTTGCTATTACAAAATATATAAATACAAAAGAATACTAAATAAAAAGTAATTTCCTCAGTAGAATCATATGCAGTCAGTTAAAAATGGATGTGTATACCCATACCTATTATTTAAGTCCAGAAATAAACACCTCATAAATAGATTCTGACTAAAAAGATTGCTAAAGAAAAGTTTAAGGCAGCCTCTGAAGAAGAGGAGAAGTGGGTTGCACATTAGCATCACTAACTGTTTTTCTTCAAGATTTATAAAGAGGTAGTAAACAAATCTCCAGTGAATGACTTCTAATTGAAAAGAAATAACAAGTACATCCAAGACTATCAATTATAACCAACTTTATACTGGGACAGAAAATTCCACTATAATGGAAAAATTAGCTGCTTAGAATTAGGAAACACTGTAATACAAAAACTTTGAATACAATTGAATTAAAATCAGAATTATTTATTAATCCATCAGTTGAAAGTGTTAAGTAAAACTATCTGTGTTTGTATATATAATGTGCACTTATTTTTGTAAGGCATCAGAAAATCTAAGATAAACATATCATTTTTTTGTTGTCAAAATAATAACTTACTGCAAAACCTGATCTATATTAATGAGAAGGTTGACTAAGCAATGAATATAAATTTACAAGGTAAGTTTCCCACCTAAATAGAATTCTTATTTTTAGTTTGTGGGAAGATTGCTCTTAAACCTATACTTAATAGGAACTAATAGGAAAGTGATCCCCCTCGGATAACTCTCTGGGCCCTATAACATTATCAGCATACTGAAGGCTCCCTGAGTTGTGTGTAAATAAAACGACCGAACAGCAACAGAAGGGAAAAAGCAGCAGCCAGAAGCAGTGACAAATTATACCACACCATTTGCAACAACATTCATGGAAATATGTGTATGTGTAGCCCTGGGCTTACCCACATACACATATCTCTACTTAGATATGTATAATAAGGGAAGGGGGAGATGGAGACAGTCAGCAAAGTGAACATGAATGAATAAAACTGTGAGAATCACATGAAACAAAGTGATCAAAAAAATCACTAGTACAAATGATAGGAAATTAAGATTAAGAAAGTCTTTATTTTATACCTTTCTCGTTCTGGTGAATGCAAACTAGTATCTGGTCTCAAGCAGTTGGTACTAGCACTCCTAGCCCTGTCAAGAGAGGGCTGCAGTTCACTAGTGCCAGTGCATTGCATCCAGTGGTAGAAGAGAACGACAAAGAAAACAAAGAAAGGAAGACCGTGTTAGAGAGTAAAGCATAAAATAATGTCCCCTTTACATAAAATGCAGAATCACTGTGATTCAGTTCATAAGGGTGTGAGAGAGTTGACAGGATGGCAGTGCAAAATTTTGTTTAGAAAATGAAACTAAACAAAGATTATGCTTGAATTGGTTTGCATAATTTTTTAAAAGGGTCTCAGACTGAAAAAAAAATGAGACTACAACACACCTACTTATGAAAAAACTGGATACAGAAAGCACTAAAACAAAATGCCTAAAACTTCGTTACCAAGAACAGATGCCACACCAAAACAAAATGAAGGACATTGGAGGAGAAAAAATTTACGACTCAACTGTTTTGGTTCACGACACTAGACAAGGGGAAGTGGAAGGCATGACTTCCAAATGTTCTTACCTAACCAATATTTCATCAGTAAATCTCAAGACTCTTGAGTGAAAGCATTCATGATGCAGGGGAAAGTCCTGTCTAGTCACTGACTTGGTTTTGGTATGTGCAGGCAGAACTGAGCTTCACACATTAAAATTATCCAAAAATAAAATAATATAAAATTAATTATCATAATTAAAATCAACAAAACAAATAAATGACACGACAATTAGAATTCTGATATTTAAGTAGACTTCATTTTGAGAAATATTAAGGAATTAGTAAGCTTTATATAGTTAAAGTCATTTTTAGATATCATTAATCTCATGAATCTCTGTGCATAATTACTTTCAAGAGAAAAGGTTAGCGCTTTATTAGAAATTGAATTTGTTATGTTTAGTAGGCAAGGGATTCAGGATTGGTTTATAACTGGGACTCACTGTTATGGCTCTTACCTGTAAATATTCCAGTGAGAACCGTTCTCTAACAAAGGCATCTTAGGCGGTAATGTTTTATAGTGCCTAACAAAATGTCTGGAACATGGCAACACAAACATGCAGGAAACAGAAAAATATATATGAAGCAAATTTTATTGGGACATGAAAAAATGTCGGAGGCCTTTTAGGTTTCAAACAAAGACAGGTCTTTTGCTTATTATCAGAATAACCACAGTAATTATTTAAGGGTAGAATAAGAATTATTAAAATATGGAATTATAGACATTTGACTTCATAATTAAGGTAAAGACTCAAAATTATAATTTAATTGCCTTAATTTGAAAAATATCTGCCAACAAAACTATGAGTTAATGAATATTTAGACTTACTCTTTAATCCCTAACTTAATATATATCTGCTTCTGTGGAAATAAACAACTCATAGCTAAACGTGCTAACCAAATAATTTATGTAATTTGGGAATTAAAATATGACATTGTAGTAATAAGCAGAGAGCTGACCAGCATGTCAGGGAGAAAGCTCATCATGGGATGGCACTGCAGTAAGGAAAGATGAGACCAAAAGATCAGGTGAGTGCAGTGGAGGAACCCTTTCCCATTTACTGGCATCTGAATCCAAATCCAACCACATGTAAAATTTATCATTGGGAAGCAAATGAGCAAATGAGATGGACAATAGATGCAAACTAGAATAGATTTTGATTTGGCAGAAAATGGTGGAAAAGGCCCAACCTTATTTGAATTATTTTAAATCTCTGAGGGATTCTGGATGGTCTAAACTACACCAAGGGCAAGGTAGATCCAGTTAATTACTTTTTTTTAACAATTTAATGTTTCTACAAATTTAACTGCTGATTATGAAAGTCCCTAGTCTATTTCAGCTTATGTTAAAATAATAAACAGGGAAGGGAATAAACAATTGCTGAGGACAAACTAAACATTCAAACACCCCACTGGCTTACTCATATTAATACTAATGGTCAAATCAAAGAAAACCTCTTAAAGCTTCAGTTTAAAAATATATTAGAGCACCATATTTGAAAACCAACTGAAGACAAATTTGACTGAAAATAAGGATCTGCCTGCTTCACAAGCAGTAGTTTTCTTTTCAACTCCTGACCTTAGGCAAATATCTCCAGCAACAGGTTGCTCTATAACTTTTTAAAGCAATCAATTCAAAAGTGGTTTATTCAGGAACACTTTGACAAGGGTTAGCAGAGAATGTGCATCAGAATGGAAGAGAGCATAACATTTATGTATAGTATGAAGGCTCTAAATTCGCACCTTGGCTTTGCAACTTAATGGCAATGAACCTGGCTAATTCAGACCTTTTCCTACATCTATATAAGAGAGGATATAAATCCACTTAACAGGAGTCTCAGAGAATTAAATGGGATAATAGATATAAAGTATGCAACACATAGTAAAGCAGCTATATAGCATTTTCTGTACAATGTTACTTTCTCAGGTCATATATTTATGAAAAGGGTTTAATGGTTAAATAAATAGATATTAATTGTGTAACAAATTATAATCATTATCAGTTATAAATAAAATAATTGGATATTATGTATTAATTATTAAAATAAATAGGCAGAAAATGGATTAAACAGCATGAGATATATTTCTTTAGTGTATGATGACTATAACATGATGTGCATACTAAATCTTCAGGGAGGGACTATATTTTGCAAGTTTCCAAAATCTGTTTGACTCACACTCTATTACTGGCACAGCACCAACTCCTCAAAATCTAATTTTGGAAAAACTAGTTTAGTGGAAAATGTCAATAGATCTGATTTTGAATCCTTGCTCTGTTACTTATTAAAGTTTCTCAGCACCTTTCCTCATCTGTAAAATGAGGGTAATAACATTCACATCATATAATTACTGCCAGAGAATTGAGATAAAGTACACTAATGACAACACTATACTTGGTGCTCAATGAATTGTATTTTCCCTGTTTGCTCGAAAGTAGTAAATCGTCAAATTTTATTCTTAAAATCCCCAAGTGAATATGAAATGATGTATCTTGAAGATTGTACAAAATGATGAAATTACCAGTATATTATATTTGCATATCTTGATATTTCAACTTTATATGTAGAGAATACAGGAAAGAAAAAATATATTTAGTTCTTCCATTTAGACTATTGGTGTAAATTTATTTCGTTTTACTTTATTTATTTATTTTTGAATTTACAAATACATTGTTCCTACTGACAAACTATTTTTTAGGAAGACACGTAATAGTAACTCTGGGCAGTTAAGCATTATAAAGAATTTGAGATAATTTTTATAATATTTATAATTTTATATTTTTCCCTAGTTCACAATCAAAACTAGCATTTCCTCATTTTTTTCCTGAGTCACTACAAGAAGACATGGAAATAGTTATCAATAAGATAATTTTACATATAAAAGAAGTTGAAACAATTCTTATTAGCATGATCATGTTTGCATTACTGAGCAGAAACACATGTGCCATGAAGACAAAGTAAATCCTGCATTCGTCCTTGCATGCAGATGTTCCACAGTTACAGCTCTTTCCTACTGTCTTTTTATTAGCCAAAATATTTGAAAAAGTTTGTCTTTGTGTAGGTTTGTTTCACAGACTTCTACTTCCTTACCTTCTATTAACTCTAAATTGGCATAAATGTTTACAGGTTGCATTCTATGCATAATCTATGAGATTTACTAGTTAAATTTATTTATTTTGGATATGAAATCCAAGATGTAATGAGATGTAAATCAAGTATCAGGTTCTAAGTTCCAATTTACAGTAGAATATTACATCCCCTTTTCTTCTCAACTTTAAAGAAGCATCATATTGTTATATGCTTATATGAGAAACTTTGTATTATAACCATTCTGAATGGTGAGGGGATGAGGGAGGGAGGGTTTAGAAGTTAAGGTCAAATATTCTCATTCTTTATCATGAAGGAAGCTGATGCTCAGCCAATAAAAAATGACCATTATTAAGATTTTATTAAAAGCAAATAATACAAATAATAGTAGGTTCCAAAAGCAAATTAAAAAGGCTAAAACAAACATAATAATGAAAACAATAACACTGCCATGCACAGATCAGACCTCCTGTGACTAGACAGGTATGTGTGTGTGCTGCCAGGGGCCTTGGTGGGGCTGCTCATAGTGAGCATTTTTAATTGTAATTGTGGAAATCGGTTCCTCAGTTTTAGGAATGTGTAAAGAGTTCCACAGAGGCACATCAGTCTCTGGAGTTTGAATATACAAATAGAAAAGCAGTCTGTCTGGATTAGAATTAAAATATATTTGGAACCTTTCCACAGCCTCCAATAAAACAAAACAAATTTTGAATATTTGGGAAATTAATTTTACATATTTGTAATAATACTATTATGTGCAAGAAGAAAGAATAGTAGAATGGAAAGAGAGTCATCACACACAGTTACCATTACCAAATCCCTGTATTTACCTGGTTGTATGTAGGCATTCTGCACTTCGTCCTCGTTTTGCTCTGGGCAGCATAAGAAGCTCACTGCACAGACAGGATGGGTGGTGGATGAAACAGATAAATCATGAGGCATTAAGTGACATGGAATATGTCAATGGTATGCCGATGAAAACATGAAAAGGGAAGAAACCAGATTGTCTGCACTAGCATATTTGCTCGAGAGGTTAAACAAAAATAAACATGACAGTATTTTAAAAAATTTAAACAATAAAGTACAAACATCATGGTCAAAGTCCTAGCTGTTGCTGATTTGCTATTGTATTTCCAAGTGACTTTACAGAATATTCAAACAAAACAAATCTAAACTGAACCTTCCCCAAATAAGATGCAGAAATCTATTTCTAATTCCTGATAGTTGGGTATTTTAAAAACTTCTGAAAGGCCTATACATCTGGCCATTCTGATGCTAATGAGAATCCTAAGCATGAGTCCTCTTGGCTCTTACAGTCACTAAAAATGCAATATCATATATGTTACTTCTTAGCCAATCATGAATATACTCAATTAGAATTGTTTTATTTTAAAACTGGTACTTTTTCTACACTCAAATGAATTTCACTTTATTAAATGCCCTGGTCAAGAAGCCCTCTTTTTCCATCCTCACCTAAATTCACAGTGGCCCCAATGAAGGCTGACAAAGTGGCCCTCACTCAACTCAACTCAGGTTGAGCAGTGTGCAATCCTATTCCTCAAAGCAGTTCTTATCTCAGTACCCAGTATGACTCCACTCTTGAAGGTCATGACACCACTTCCCACAGTAGGATGACAATAAAGGATTAAGAAGCTCTACTGAGTTCTGTGTCCTCGACTATACAGCAAAAAAAAAAAAAAAAAAAAAAAAAAAAAAAAAAAAAAAATCAATCATTAAGCACCACTAACATTTCCCTACTCCTTCCTAAAAGTTTTTCCCACTTTAAAAAATCCAGAAGAGGATGTCCAGCAAGGTGGGTATTCTAAAACCTTAAATCAGATCCTGAGCTTGTGATCTGGCATATACAAGTATGTGGTTAGTCTGAGAACAAAGTCTATGGGCATGTAGAACAACAGAGCTGTAATGTAGATTTTTAGTAATTGTGTCCAGGAAGTACTTGTTCATATGAAAAAAAATCATCTCAATATTTTATACTTTATAGACATTTTATAGAAATACATTTTATGAAAATTAGGTATATAAAAATATTATTTTTAATTAAAGTTCTCACAGAAACTCTGCAACATCAATTGTCTTTCAGATGACCTGTATCCAAATTTGTTTAATAACATAAAAAACATAATTTTATAATTACATAATTGTTTAACAGCATAAACACAATTTTATAATCACATCAATAACATCCCAAAGACTGCAACCCACAAAATATAAAATATTTGAAAATTGCTTCTGTAGGCTTCCTTCTATAATTTAGAAACAATAAGCTATGCATTTTAAACTGGCTAAACATAAATTTCTATTTATTAAAAAATGTACACATTATGACAATATAATGTTAGCCAAATATTTCCTAGAGTCGCATTTCTATTGGAATATCCTCACAGCTGTTCCTTGAGAGTTCACTTTTGAGCAATTAAGTACTTTTACTTTCTGATGTACTCTGCCAAGATATCTATCATATACTAAAAAGGAGCAAATAAAAAGTTAAAATGTTGAGATCATAATTTGAACAAATACCTGTCTTGTTCTGATAAATACTGACTATCCACATCTCTGGATCTGTGATCAACTGGACTTCGGGAGGCATCATGGTGTCTAGTTGGAGAACGTGACCTTCTTGTAGGATGAATTTCATCTAAACTCCTAAAATGATTACAAAAATACATATGGATCAAAGTGTATAATCTTCCCAAATCTGGCAAACTAATGGGAAGATCTGTCAGTAACTGGCAAAATACAGGCATGGCTTGAAAAGTTCTGGCATCATAACCAAATACATATTTTATCAGTGAGCTAAATGTATTAATTCCCTATGATGATTTCCCTGTGCTGCATTTCTCCAATCTTCTTTTGCATCTCTGTCAAAAAAGGACCACAATTTTCATCTGCATAAGTAATTATAATTTCAGAAGTATATTTCAGGATTAGAGCACTACATTACTTATGTTTTATATACTTTTTTTGAGCACTTAAAGTGCTTCAAAGAGACAATTCTAAATTCTAAATTTCTTAAAAATACATTCTGCCTCTTAACCTTTTCCTCTTTGCCATTTCTCTCCACAAGTTATTCATTATTATACAGTTTTTCCTAACAGGAGAGAAAACTAGCCAACGGAATACATGATAGTCATTCAAAAACTATGCTTGGGAGGGACATAAACTTTTTCAAATCCCTAGAAAAAATTTCTTGAGATTCAAGAACAGAATGTGATATAGGTTGAGTAATGCATAAAAAGACATTTTACTACAAATGATTCTGAAAAAAGAACTTGACTGCCCAAACCATTATTTTATGTAACAGTCTTGTGGCAGCTTACATTGTATTAAAATTAAAAATTACTGACAGAGACTTTAAGCCCATTTCAAAGCCTACCTCTGTAATGGCACATTTGGTAAACGTGAACGCGGCCTTCCCTGATCATCGCCGCGGTGAGGAGATACTGAACGTGAGCGGTGATGAGTTGTTCTTTGCTGTTCTGGCACAGTTAATGTTGTAGATTTACTTTCTCTAGCACTAGACCTATAACCTACTGGCAAGAGTACACACAAAAAATCAGTCAGTACTCTTCTATAATGCAAACATTAATGTGGAAATATCAAATTATATCTAAAGCAGCCACTGACCTACTACAATTAATGCCATGCAATCAGTATTATTAGCTTTTCTCCTCAAAACTATTAAGTATACGTACACAGAGTGTAACATATACATGCATAAAAACAAGCTACAGATTTGTTCAAAGGTACCCATGGAAATACTGAATATGACAACTGATGCCTCAGATGTTATGATGAGCTGGGATACTATTTTAATTTTAAAAATGAATGAGTTAGTGATTTTTTTCATTGACAGTGTTCTCTCATTAATAGATAAATCAATGCTTAGAAATGTGGGGTCTCTTTAAATGTTATTTGAACTTTTCTTCCAAAGGATCAACTACTTTAATTGGATTTCAGATGGCTTTGCAATTAAGAAAATGAAAATGTTATCATATCAATTTTAGTTAACAAAGAAGAGTACTAAATCTTCACTATTACAAATATTCACTGAATTTTGCAAACTGTATATAATACCAAAATTTTCAAATGAAAATAGTGTAGGGATGGAGATGATTATGGCAATAATGCAGAGAAAATTAAACCTCCTATAGAAACAATCATCAGATCTACCTCAGACATCTGAAACTATTCCTCAAATGTGCTGATAACATAACTTAGTTAATATAGTTAATAAAATTGCAATTAAAAGTACATTGTAAAATTAATTCTCCCTAGAAACAAAAAGGTTTATATCATCTCTTAGTTAAGATAAAACAGTAATCCAACCTCAAATCCAAGTAACAGTTTAATTAACTTTCTTTTTTCCCTGATGGTCATTGTTTGCCATTGAAAGGAAAATAAAAAATTCTGTGGCCCAAGGAAAATAATATATTTACAACTACATACATGTACATGAAACATTAAATTTAACTGAGCATCCTGAACTGTTCTTCATTTATTTACTTGATAATTTCTACATTATTTTAAAATATGCCAATGAAACATCATCATTAGGGAGACTAAATTTCTTTAATTTATTTGTTGTGACTGTATGATCTTTTAACTAAGCTTAATGAATAAGAAAGGCCTTTAAACATTTCATTAAGTGCAATTTAACAATACTGAGATCAAAGATACCCAACACTGTCATTCTAAAAACTTCAGTATAATGATCAAATAATATAACAATAAATGTTATAATTTATAATTTCATATATTTCATTTTGTGACAAAAATCATAGTAATTAAAGTTTTGAGTTTCAAATAGGAAAGTTTCTCTGTCATTGTTAAGTTTAGAAAGAAACCACGTAAATGTACGCGTAGTGAATTTATGTCACAGCTCATTATAAAAAATGGTGATTATTTTTAAAGATAATACAAGGTCTCAATTACTTAAACATTTCAAATTACCATTTGTTATTACTTGATAACATTTTGTATCAGTTATACAAGAATTATGGAAGGTCAAGATTGAATTGGAGCACCATTTCAAAATTTCAAAGAATATTTAAGATATATAAATAACACTTTCATATTTGAAATATATGTATATAATAAACAATATAAATCACATTATAATTGGATATAATTAATTATTATGAAATAACTTAGAGAACTTTGACATCTTACTGTTAGAAGGGTATAAATGATTTTTTTCATGGGTTCTTTGTATTTACATAGAAAGTAATATCCTTTTTATCCTATCCTAATTTGTATTCATAGTTTTTTGATGCTTTTCAAAATAATTTGGTTTTCTTTGTATTATGTTTAATTTGTTGCTGATAACACATATTCTATCTTCAGAAAAAGGTGGGAGGAAACTGCTACTTTATGCTCATTTCAATGTTTTAATTAACTCAAAGAGGGTTTATTTGTATTTTCACTTTCTGAATTTGTAGTAATGCTCAGAAAAATTGAGGCTACCACATGTCTTGCCCCATATAAGAGCATTCTCCATATGCTTATTTTTATTCTTCTTAAGTGGCTAAAATGATTTATTTTAAATAACAACAAAGCTATGATAAAGTTAATAAAATGTAGCTTTGAAAGTCTCAGCTACTTTCAAAACATTCCCTAAGGGTAGAAAGGTAAGTACATCAAACATGAGAACTCTGTGGTCCTAGAAAAGCAAAAGTCTTAGAAAGTTTAATAAAGATTCAGCTGTGGTAAGACATCTAAATAAAGCTTTTGAACGTCTTCAGAAAACAAAAAGCCAGAAATTTCAGAGTATACTAATCAAATGTAGAACTAGTATCTACATCTAAATAAATCTTTCTTCATACTGAATATTGGGAAACATAGTAACAAATTCATAATTGATCTCTAAAAGCATGTGCAAATTTATCTACCTGCTTGTTTATTAATTTATCCCTTCATTTTATTTTTGCTGCTTGCCCTTATTTTACCAATGACTCATCTTTCCTCTTTTTTTTTTAACGTATTGTATATTACTGTGTAACTTGCTATATTTTATTGTCCACACCAATGTATCTTTAGAATTTAGCATATATCCATTTTGGATCCATTAAGAGTATACCTAAATATATAAATTAATTGCATTATCTCCCTTTTTTATTTATGAAGAGACCTCTAGAATATAAAATATTATTGATTATTTATTTGTCATATTCTATTAAAAGTCCTGCCTCATTATCTTTTAAATGCTGAATAAAAATGAGTATTATTTGAAATGACAACTTAGGCATTGCTTCTATATTATAAAAGAGATTATATATGTTTATAAAATCATGATTTGGTAAATTTCAGTGCAGAATATAAATATTTTTAAAACTCAGTGTTTTTCAGTGAGTTTTTAGTTTTCATTCCTACTATAGTGGGTTCGTAATTCCCATTTTGGCTGCTATCTGTGATCTCTCAGGGAAAGGAGAAGAAACCATTTTAGTAATTTAGTAATTATTCAATTGGCCATTTATTCTTTCATCTGTTTGTTATCCTGCCTCATAATATAAAAATATGAAATTTCAGGTGAATGAAACATGAGAATTATACACAGAAGTAAATTCTGTTTAGATGAGTTGGTAATGACCATTTTAAGGCTGATTAATAGCCAAGATTCTTGTTAAAAAGGCTTGATTACTCTTCTACCAGGAATCATCTGAATAGGAATTTAAATAGGAATCAGTGGATTTAATATACACTTTTCCACTATCAATTTTGTAAAAAATGAATATTCTATTGACTCTTGTGTTCAAGTTTCTGAGGAGAATGTGTCTATTATGATACTTTTAAAAATAAAACAGAAAATATGAAATTTTATGCATTAATATTCAAAACTCTTGTAGTCTGATGTCAGAGAGTATTACCTAAGAATATAGATGGGCACAGCATCAGGTTTATTGCTCTTAAGAATATTTGCTAATTTCACACAGTGATTAAATACTATATTTTCTCTGAATTATAAGAAGCAAATGAATTCTAATTTTAGAGAACTCTCCACAGTTTCTCCTAGTTTTAAAGAAGTTTTATGTATCTCTTCAAACTGTGAATTAAGTCACTAGTGTGGAATCTGTCCATTGACTTTACCAAAATCACTGCCTTCAAGTTAAGTGCATCTCCATCCGAGAAATTACACGAATTAAGGGGTCATATGTCATTACTGTCCTAAAGAAATGCCTTTAATAATTCATAATTATGCATTCCAAGATATTCTCTTTACTTGTTATTTGACATTTTCTTACTTTTTATTAGTAAGTCAAGAAAATAGCACAGGATTAGCATCAAGAAAATAAGCCTTTACAACTTAGTTTTACTCACTTTCTGACAAGAGTCAGGTGAAAAACATAGATTTGAATCACATAATGCCACAAAAATTTTACTAACTTGTACAGTGACAAAAAGATGTTGACTTAAATGAATATTGAATCTTTCTAAAGCATTTCCTTATTTTAATACATACATACACATTCTAGGTATAATAAGTGATAAACACATCACAAAAGCATTAAAATTTAAGCCATGCCACATGCAATTTTAAACCCTGCCATGCATCTTTCTCAGTATATTCCATGGAAGGCTACATTATTTTGAGAAATGGAGGAAGGAAAAATCATAGGCATACAATATAAAACATAGGAGAATGGGATTTTTGAGAAAATTAACATATTCTTTCAAAACGAAATTTGTATTTTTACTTATGCTCAGAGCATTATGAAATAATGATTTCAACCTAGCTAGCCATCTTAGCTTCTAAGATAGAACCTGAGTAAATTAAGTAAGTGGGACAGTTAATGTATAGTTCCTAGCCCATTTCAAACTTTCTTAATAATTTGGAACACAAGTCACCATGGAATAATATAATACTGATTTCTCTGTCCTATAAATCTCCAGTTCAGTATCCCAAATAAGTCTGGAAATTGACAGTGAAAACAAGCATAAGAAGCACAGTGAAGCAGAGCCATGCTCTTCACCCACGCACCTGGAGGAACTACTCCAATACCATCATCAACCTCATAATCTGAGATGTCACTATCACTGATTCGCTGAGATCCTGCACAACAGTAAGGCAAACAGATACCTCTGTGTTTTGTTGGTTTATGAAATGTAAAGGACATGGTCAAAAAATTTTTTTAAAAAAGCTAATTACGTTACTACTAAATACTTTTGAACAAGAATAACACAAAGTTAATGCTGAGACGATTTTTTAAAACCTGTTTTTTCTCGAAAGATAACATTTTCTCAGTATCTCCTTTTAGTCACTTAAGACATAGAATCAAGGAGATTTTATATAATAAGATTTTGACTTTTCAAATTATTCTTTTATTCATGTATTATGCTAAAAGTCTGTAGCAAAGTATATACACTATTTTCTACCCAATTAGGTGCCCTCCTCCACCAAGAGGAAGGGTGGGAGTATGGGGCTGAGTGGGAAGGCTGAAAGACTTTCTTGGCTGGAGCTCTATTGAGCTCATATGTTAAAAAGGACATCATGGCCTTTATAAAATATTTATGCTTATCCTTCAAAATTAGTCATTATACTGCATTAAACATTAACTTTGAGAACATGATTCTCTGATCAGAGAGGCACTAACATGAAATATTCAATTATAAGAGAAAAACAAGTTGGTTCTAGATTACCAAAATGAAGCTTCTAAGTTTCAGTTGATTATTTAGTCATAACTCAAAATTTAATGGACATAGGCAGAAAAGGATACTGTTTTACTCAATCACCAGATAAGTAACAACAAACATACTGTACAATGGCTTTTTAAAAAGTCTCTTATTAATAATAATACTAAAAATACTGAGGAACTATTAAGTTATCAAGAATCTTATATATATAGCAACCCATCAATTAATCAACCAATCAATTCAATCAGTACTGAGCAAAGAATGATAATTCAGAGTTTTTTAACTGGAGCCTCTGGAATCACATACCTTTCATTAGAGAAATGTAGAAAATAGTTTTGCCAAGTCACTTTATATAGACAAATCATTTTCCAATATTTTGATCTCTAATAAACATTTAAAAAATATCTTGAATGTCAATCTTTAATTTGATCAATACAACATAACTAATTCTGGTAACTAAAAATAACTTTAACCTACTTTGTAGTTTTTTGCTAGAGCTTTCTCCATGAATGTGTCGCCTTGGCATGAATGGTGATGGCTGAGGCAGAGGTAGTGAGGATTCATCATGTGTCTGAAGTTTATACCAATGTGGCTCATCATCTAAAAGTGCTGTCTCCAATTCTATGAGGATCTGAAAGGGCAGTTCTTAAATTAAATCAAGGGTCTTGCCCAAAACAGAATATAAAATCAATCACAATTAATACATATCACAGAAACTTCAATAAGCATTTGGCTTGAATCTTTACAATATACGTCACCTCTCCAAGAAATTCACTCTCTTCTTCTTGTACTCTTGGTTGATCCCACACAGTTATTTCTAACATCCGTTCTCTAAAATCTCTACGATGTACATGTGAATAGACAAATGTTTGATTCCATTTTGGTTCTAGGACTTTCTTTACTGTTTTGGTCCTCCTTTTGCTTTTGTCACTGAAAAATAAGTATGTTTTGTAAATGAAAAAGAAAAATGAAGAATCTGCTGCCATCTACTGTAGTGACATGTAATACTGCTACTGGGATTTTTTATTCTTTTTAACTCAAAATTTTTAATATAAAAGCCTAAAAAGACTGTAGGGTTTAACACCACTCTAATTTTAACTACAATGATAGCAATAGTAATAACAGGCATATACAGAAAGGCATATTCTAAATGATGTATTGTTATTCAAGTCTAAGTGATGTATAAACAAGGTAATGAAAAAATTTTAAATTGGTACATTATTTTTTTAAAATACAAAGCTTGAGGGTTTTTTTTTTAGGGAAAACATAGTTATTCTCTCATAGAGAATATTTTATTATATTTTAAAACTATATTACAGGTGTATGCATATGTTCAAACTCATCAAAATGCACACATTAATTACATGCAATTTCTGGTATATCAGTTTTACCTTAATAAGGCTTTATTTTTTATTTTTTTTTAAGATTTTATTTATTTATTCACCGACATGGGACGAGATCCTGGGTCTTCAGGATCTGGCCCTGGGCTAAAGGCAGCGTTAAACTGCTGAGCCACCCGGGCAGCCCCTTAATAAGGCTTTAAAAAAACTAAACTATATCCCAGGAGATGATATCGTACCTTTTCTATTAGTAATAATTTTTGCATATTTTTTTCTAAAATTATTCACTACCTTCTATCTGGAAGAAAATACATTTTCACATAGGGATTCCTGGGACGCCCATCTACTCTAGTAGGTAAATCTGTTGCTTGCAGAACATTTACAATCAGCTGGTGTCCCACTTTATCATACCACAGCTTCACCTAAGATCAATGAAGAAAGGAATTATTTGTAAAAGTCATGAAGTATCATAATTCTGCAAAAAAACATACTAAACCTATTTTTGAAGAACTTTTAAATAACAATTATATTATTTCTGAAAAGAATACCAACTTGAAAGCATAACCATTTATAACTTGACAAAATTTTCTATTTATGTGTTTGGCTTAATGATGGGCAAGCCTATAGTGTTATATCATGTTATGAAAATAAAACTGATAAAAATTTTATTAAAAGGTAAGGGAAGAATATTAAAATAATTTTCCTTATCTTTAAGTGCTAAGTGCCAGTGTTTGGTGTTTATAAATGACTTAATGATTTTAGTGTGGCTAAATGTATTTTATATTACCATATGTGTTGAAATGAAGTTTAATGAATAGGCAGTTTACACAAGTGATTTGGTAAAGAGGAGGAAACATTTACTGTGAGCCTCCTTAACACCAGATACTGTTGTTTTCTGTTTTTTTTTTCTCATTTAATTTTTATAATTAACCTATTACAAGTTAATATTCATGAGAGAAAGGGAACAGAACAAGGAAGGTAGGAAAGGTGCATTACATATCTTCAACTAAGTGAAGAACAAATAATGATATTTCTACTAAGATTTCATAGTTCGAATTAAAAAAAAATGGGACAATGGCAGACTGAAATGCCATCAAACTCCTAAAAACCAGAATGTTAGTGGTCATTATAGTATTTGTGCTGGCAGTGAACAATGTTAACATGACTTTTTTTTTTTTTAATCTAGAAGTTAACTTTGGTTTTATGGCTGAGTAAAAACTATGAGTGAAGTTGTCTAATGGGAATATATTAGAACATATTCAAAAGTCATTACAGAAAGTAACGTAATTTAACATAGGATTGGTCTTTCATAGTGCAGGGCAGAGTAAAGTTTCAAACCTGAATCCATATGAATCCATATCTCTGTTCTCAGTTAATAACAGAGATGTGTTTTTCATAAAACCCAAACAGATTTTTATCCCTCCTAAAATATTGGTGGAGTATATGAGAGATTCTCTCTATCACACAAACACACACACACACACATACACACACACAAATGGCAGGGCAGATAAAATAAACAGAAAGGACTATACAAAGATATTCAATTTACTAAAAATAGAAGTTAAAACCAAGAATGGTTTTAAAAATAACAGTAAGCTTACAGTTACCTTCTTTGTTTAATTAAATGCCAAGAGTAGAGCAGCAGAAACAGACTACAGAAATCCACATACTACCAAAGAAGAAAAAGTAAACTATTTACAGGACAGTTTTGAAGCAAGTTTTCTTTTAGTTACAAATATAAATGTCCTCTATTCTACCATAATCTACATAGATGTGGCATTTCATAATAGTTCGCCATAGTTTCTTTTCTCTGGCTTTCCCCACATCATATATAAAGCAACGGAAAGAAAAACTGTAGCTTTTCCAGAGTGATATCAGAAATGAAGTGTTTCATCCAATGATTAAAGTTCAGGCTCCAGGTTCATAAGGTTAAGTAGGTGGAGCCATGACCTTCTGAGTTTTTATGTCTAATCAAATACTTACCTTATAAACTTTTATAGCACACAAAACATAATGGGCATTTTATTTACTTACATTGTCATTTATCATTGAATGTTTATAACATCTGGGTACATTAGAGGCACTGAATAAATATTTCCAAATAAATATATGAACAGAGACTAATCTAATAATTTAATAAATATATGCAAATTGTGAAATAGATTACGGTGTTAAATACATGATGTATATTTGGAGGACAGACTTCAAATTTTGGGGGACATTGAGAAATAAATGTCCTTCATTTTTTTAAGGACAGACTCAGAACAATGAGAAAAGACTAATCGTCTCCAACATGTATGAAAAATACACACAGAAAGTTGTCCTGGCAAGACTTGTGGGGCATCTTTTAGAGCTCCAGGACTTGTTGGAGAAATAACAGAAATGGAAGGCCTTTCCATCTTCTGAGACTCAAAGGAACTTGAACCTAAAATGAGAAACAATATAAGTAATTTTTAGTAACACATTTATATGTGTTATAATATATATATATATATTTTATGAAATGTTAAATGCACCTATTGGATAGTTACAGAAAGTGATCATATTGTTTTCTATGGTTAATTTCCTATTTTAAAGGTATTTGAAATGATATAATTAAATATTGTACTTATTTGCTCCAATTTATATTGTCTTTCTATATTTCGGAGGGGGGATCTGTACAGTTTAGGTTCTGGCATAACGTCACATATAGGTATAAAGACTTCATGCTTTAGTGATAAAAAATATGGTGCCTGGGGATGAATGGGTGGCTCAGCGGTTGAGCATCTGTCTTAGGCTCAGGGCATGATACTGGGGTCTGGGATTGAGTCCCACATCAAGCTTCTTGCAGGGAGCCTGCTTTTCCCTCTCCCTATGTTTCTGCCTCTCTCTGTGTGTCTCTCATGATTAAATAAATAAAATATCAAAAAAAAGATGGTGTCTGTTATTTTAATTATCTTGGCTAAAGAATCATCCATTATGAATATCCTTGCTGAAATTAAAATGAATAAACATATAATTTATGAGCCACATCTAAGCCTATAACTCATTGCTTTTTTAAATATGATTTACCATCTATTTCAATTTGTTTATTTTTTTAAAGATTTATTTATTTATTTTGAGAGAGTGTGTGTGCACACAGGGTGGGGGAGGGGCAGAAGGAAAAGGAGAGGGAGAAAATTTCCAGCAATTCACACTTGATCTCATGACCCTGAGATCATGACCTGAGCCAAAACCAAAACCGAGAGTCAGACGTTCAACCTACTGAGCCACCCTGGCACCCCCGCCCGTCTATCTCAGTTTTGATCTTAAGAATGAACCTCCTGAATGTCTGAGAATGCTTTCTCCAGTGATTCACCACAAGTGACCCATTTCACCTTCATGTAGAGGAGGCTGGCAGTCCACTTAGCCACTCAGTGTGGCTTTTCTCTCTTCTTTTTAAAGTAAGAGTTTTCTCTTCTCAGATCACTGTTAAAATATACCCCGACACAATCCATGGTAAAGAATGTTTATGGAATGCTATTATCCTGGCATGTATCTTGAACCCACACCACAGCCATTCGAAATTTAGCTTTATTGATAAAACACTTATGGAGCATTGCCTGAGGGTGTGTCATCCACACATTTTTTTTTATACACACAAATTAAGTCTAAGTTAAGCCACATAGCATCACTCTGTGCCCTCCAAAGACTTCAAAAAAGATTTTTATAAAATTCTTTGTAACTATGCTTCTTTTATCAGGTATCCTTAAGATAATTTTTTCCCTTAGGTCTTAATACAGGAACACTGTTGCTTCCAATAATAAGTTTGTTTTTAATACAGAAGTTTATTTTTAAATACTGTTAACTATAAATGAGGCAATTGGTCCAATTTTCCTCTATGTGTTGATTATCAGAAAGCTCAAAACCAAATATGGACTCATCTCTAGCAGGTATGGATTTGATATACTAAGCTAATTTTCCATTCCTTTTCTATCCCACCCACATTTTTCTACCTCCTTATAGCTACGATCACGTTTTCCTCTTAAATCACTTTGTATTTGTATTTCCATAAAATGGGTTACATAATAACACTTGATCATCAAGCCCAAGGTATTATGAATTTAATGCCAATCTGTTGCAGAGTAAATATCCGCATCACTTCATTACTTCCATATTCTCACTGAAAATCTCATTACTGTCTAGACTCCAAGGCATACATTATAATTTTCTATTACCTGGAGTGTCTTTAACTGCCATGTAGATAATTCAACCATTGAGCCTCACTGTCCCCTGACCCCCCTCTGTTGAACTTCACCTCTACTCCACTGACTTCACTTCTACTCCACCCACTCATTTCCACAATCATATCTGACACTGTTATAGGTTGTTTTAGGTTTTTTTTTTAATTGTTTTTATTTTATTTTAAAAATTTTTATTACTATTACTTTAATTTAAATTTAGGTAGTTAATATACAGTGCAATGTTGGTTTCTGGAGTAGAAGTCACCTACATATAGTACCCAGTGCTTATCATGTTATGCTCTTTTTAAGTTATCTAACGTGCTTGTTTCCTTCACTGGAAGTTAGCTTATGAGACTGAGCTAATTGATTGTATCAGACTGAATAATCCAGTATCACAGTAGATTTTTATGTATAGCAAACAAAACTAATATTGGTATATTAATTGAGGTCTGTAAGAGTCCTGACTGTTATGATGCAGAAGGTACTGCCAGTTAAGGTTTTTGTATACCCATCAAAAAAAAAAAAAAAAAAAAAAAAAGAAGAGAAAAAGAAAAAGAAAAGAAAGAGTAGGAAAAGAAAAATCTTAAAATAGAACTTTGGATTTTCAGTGATTGTCATAGTTGCCAACTTCTGATATCATTGGAGATAACTTAGTATAGTAATACCATTCATTTATATCCAATAACTAAAATAAGTGCTAAATCTTTATTCTTCAATTTCATTCAGTACATATTAAAGTAACAAATAAATCTTCTACTCACTGGACTCCAGTGGAGGATGGGAGCTCTCAGGAATCCGTGGAATGTCACTAAAAGAAATAGGGGATGGTGAAAATCCCATTAGATAAATTACCCTGCCTGAGGCAATCACAACCACATTTTATTTCAGTGGTGTGAACAATCCTTTTGGGTCTTTACAGGTGTGGAAATAGACATGAGTTACTATCAAGGGAATTACTAATGTGCATGAATGTCAAACATCACACACACACACACACACACACACAAATTGCAGTAAAAATAACTTTTTATATATTTAACAGCAAAACACTTCAACATGACAACAATCAGACTAATATTGTGGCTAAAATTGCCACAATATTTTTACTACCAAAACAGCAGGTTTTGGAAATAAAAATGTTAAAGATAATATTTTATTTCAATTTGAGAAAATCAAAATGACACATATTTTACAAATCAGTAATATGCTTTACAAACACATCTGAAAGAGTTTACTGAATGAAAGGGATGAAAACATTTCTTGATAAAATAATATGGTGAATATCATGGGCAAAGTTAATAAAATGAAAAGGATGAATTGCTTTAGAAATTAAAAATGGTTCAAGCTTGCAACAAAAAAGCTAAAATATTTTATATATGTGAATACATAATTTATATACACATATATAACCCTATATAGAGATTTATATCTCTATACTGAAGTTAGCTAAATATATGGCCATTTATTGTATGATTAGAAAGTGACTTGTGAGAACACCCATTCCTGTCACACTCACAAATTACTCTGAATAAATGTTTATAACCTCAGCTTAATCCATTATCCACTGTGACCTTAACCCTGGACCAGTTTGGTTTAGGAAATGTACTGCATAGAACTACTTTACTTCTGGTTTTTGAAAGATAGTTTGTATCAATTTAAGGATATTAACAATATGGAAGTATTAACATGACATATTAAAGCAGACTGGAATTAGCTAGGAGCAAGAGAATTATTAGAATAACATTGGAATATTATTTAAGAATTTCTAACCACTTACCTGTGTGACCTAACGTCACTTTGATTTTTCTTTGCACTTTTGGTGGGGAACAGAACCAAAAGCAGTTTTCTCTATTTTCTGACTCTTCATTTTTACTTTTTTGTGCAAAGTGCAAAACCACCTATATTATACTTCTTACAAAGATAATACAATCTGTATTGTATATTTTATAAATATATTTTATTGTATATTTCTGTATAACTACTGATTTGTATAAAATAAGTATTTTATATCATAATCAGGAGCTTAATCTGTAATACCTAACCACAAGAAACCAACTATTTATCTCCCACTACCTTCTTCTAAATTTATCTAGGAAATAAAAATAATTTTTTTAAAAAAATCTAGAAGCAAGGATGCCTGGGTGGCTCAGTGGTTGAGCATCTACCTTCTGCCCAGGTGTGATCCCAGGGTCCTGGGATCAAGTTCTGCATTGGGCTCCCTGCAAGGACTCTGCTTCTCCCTCTGCCTATGTTTCTGCCTCTCTCTCTCTCTCTGTATCTTATGAATAAATAAATGAAATCTTAAAAAAAAAAAAAACTAGAAGCCATCATTTTTTAGATAGTACAACTTTGAAAACCAGTCTCAAAGTCAATTATGGAAATCAGAATCTGTAATTAAAACCAGGTACAAGCTTTGGATTTTATGTGTCTGTGAAAGAAAGACTACGGAGAAGTAAAAAAAATTTTGAAGTAATTTTGAATCAAAATTTATTAATGTTTATTGCTTCAGTAATATTTTCAAGAACAAATTTCCACATTTACAAACAAGCCTTCTTAATTACTTCTACTCATCCTACTCACAAGTAAGGTGACAGAACAGTTCTGATACCAATTATAAACATAAATGCCAAGAATATTATATTGGTAGGTTAGTAAAATTGATCAATACTTCAAGAGGGCTAATGTTTCTTAGTCCATTTGATCAATGTGCATGTAAGTTATATTTGGAATGATTTGTGGAATTACTATCCCATTAAACTAAGGATAAATATTATTTTCTTCTTTAAATTAGTCATAGAATTACATTAAACATAATTATTAAATTTAGCTAGAATTACTCTTCTACGATCCTAATAATTTCTCTATTAACTGGAGAGTTGATGTCAGATTTGATTTCTATTTACATATAATCTTTGCATTCTATGTTTCTTTAAATTCCATAATCCATGACAATTTAGGGTTTGGTTATACAGATTATTACTTTTTAAATTATTTTCATAGAAAGTAAAAACAATGAAAATGTTACTCCAGTCCACTTTAATTGCCTGTTAATTTTTTTAAAGTTACCATCAATCCATATTTTGTCTTTTAAAAATTTTTTTAAACTTTTAAATCTCTACATATCGGAAAGTATTTGGCAATGTGTACAGTGCTTGATTTTAATTTTTTTTATACTTTTGATTCATTTTCCAATTTACTTACCTCTTTTCCAGCCTCATATTTACCTTAGCACTAGAACACATATCATATAAAACTAGCATAAATTATATAGTGTTGCTATTTTTAAAAAATCTGCATGGAAATGTATCATACTTTTGCAAATGTCTTCAATGTTTACTCTTAATAATCACCACTTAAAGTTGTTTATAATCTTGCTTTTATTTTAGAGTTTATATATATTAATATTATTCTTTGGAATATATGATCATACATTTTCAGTCCTTTGGAAACTAGGATAATTATATTTTCTTGTATGTTTTGCATTGGCATATATAATACATGAGGACAACAAAAATTTAAGGCTACTACTTTTTCAACATAAAAAGTCTTGAACTAATGGCTCTACAATATTTTAGATAAAAGGGGGTAAAAAGGAATTATTTCCAAAAATATATTTAAACATCAACCCAACTATAATGAGACAATTTAAAATGACTTCCAAAAAATTACAGACCGGCAAAAAGAGTATCTGGACTTTGTGAGTTAGTGAGGAGAAGCTAATGATGTGGCGAACTCTATGCACAAATATGAAAAATATCCCACTGGCTGTAGATAATTAGATTATGCTAAAAATTTAAGTTTAAAAAATACTATACCGATTATTATGACCAACTAAAAAGTAAAAATATTTCACATTTGCTTAACTTTAAAAGTTGGTACTACCCATGGGTAAAAATAAAGAAAAAAATATTCTATTCTTAGTAAAATAATAAAAAAGTTCATGTAGACATGAAACAATTAGTATTTTAAATATAAGAAGACAAGTTTGTTAGTGACTCCCTTCAAGGAAATACTACTCATTAAATTAAAATTACTAAAAATAATAGTTCTGCCTTAAAAGAAGATATTTTTAGTTTATTTTTCACTTTTGAAAAATACATATCAATATTTTTTGATATTACAAGTGATAAATTGTGGAGCTTCTAAAATGTAGTGAAGAAAATTCAGTATTCAAGTTTAAAAAATTAAGAAATTTTAAAAATCTAAAATGTATGCCCATAATTGAAGAAAAAACTATCCATGTTAACATGTACTGTATGAATGTATAAACTTCTTTTTAAAACCCTGCTAATACATGTAATTTACTAAACTTAAGAAGTAAGTTTTTTTAGCCTTACCCAATAGGCCTTGAAACAATAATTTCAACTTGAGGTTCTGATTTTGATTCTAAAATAATGTTGTAAACTTCTTCATTTGTAGCTCCCGGCAGGGGTTTACCATTCCATTCTAGAACTTCATCCCCTTGAATTTAAAAAAAAGGGTATTTTTTTACCTTATATATTCTGTTTATTTTTCTTATCTTTTCTCTTTTTTAACAAAGAAATGCAAAACATATACAAATAGTTTAATTGTCTAGGCTCTGCTCTCAAAAGCAAATTAATTGACATAAAATGTCAGCTAAATGGTTCTTCTAAACACTTTTTCCTTTTCTTCTTTCTTTCTTTCTTTCTTTCTTTCTTTCTTTCTTTCTTTCTTTCTTTCTTTCTTTCTCTTTTTTTCCTTTTCTTTCCCCCATAGAATATTACTGGTCACAGGAAACAGTACAATACAAAACTACCTTTATCTTTGATATATACCAGAAATAATATAAAAAATAATCTCATGCTATGGGATGGAATTAGCACAGCTTATTTGGAAACATTAAAAAATAATAATTAGCAGCATGTCCTACATATAATAAATGCAGGCAGCTCTATATGTGAAAGATTCTTATTGAACTCTGCATAAATCCTGCTTTGTTTTTGGTTGAAATAGCAATTAACATTTATTAGCATGAATTTTCCAATTATAAGTCATGCTTCATTGTCTTCACCAGACACACAACAGAATAAAAATGCATGAAAGGATCTGAATTCATACCCATAGGGCAACGCAGGTAGCTATGGCAAAGTTACAAAGCAAGCAGATGTAAAACTGTTGCATGACAGTTAACCCACTTCCAGATGTTCATAACACACACATTCTATATATAATATATATTGTGAGCATTAACATAAAATTAGAAAATATTTTTATAATAATAAAACTAATATAGTACTCATTAATTTGTTAAATATTCTAAGATTAATCAAGTAGGGTCATATGATGTTAAAATACATGAGCTAATGCTTATTGTTGATATTTTAACTAGACTTTTCACAATTGATCATTTGGGAAAAATTATTTATTTTCATGAATATTTTAAGAAATTTTAGATCCCAAATGGTTCTCTGCACAGTACCCTTCAATTCACAATGGTAGGCTTAGCTGAAATATCCCAACCTCAGTGATACTTTGAGGTGTCTTAATTTTTTGTTTGTTTGTTTCTGTTCATTTTGTTGTTCTCAGTGCCTAAACATTTTACTAGCTAAGTAAATATAGGATAAGCTGATGAATCAATACAATCATTATATATATGAAAGCTAACTGTAAGCATGAAATCTTTGTTTTTAGGTAGGTCTTTAAAAAGAAGTAGAAAAATTTTGTTTTACTAGAACCATTTTAAGGTATTTTTTCCCAAATGTTTGCTTACTCAAAAATATAAAATGAATATTTGAAAGGCATGTGATGCTGCTTTGGTTTGGAAGAGTATGGTTAGTATCAACATTTAAATGACTTCTAATAGTTTGACCTAAGAAGTTACCCAGCAAGGTTTTTAAAATAGGCAATGAATATAAATTGGTGTTAAAAAAGGAATTAAATTATAAAATTAAAATATATTCAGTCTTTTAAATTTGACAAAGGAAATAAAGTTTATGTCATGTGAATATATATGTATGTGTGCATGTATGAAAAAATATTTTCTGAAAGAATACTTACCCTGATATCTCTTATTCTATCATGTTTTATTTCATTTTTTAAAAAATGGATACAAACCACTAAATTAATATAACTAGCCAGTAATGAGCTGCAGTCAACATTTTGCAAAAGCCCTGAACTATAAAATTCTCTTTATAGACAGCAACCTGGAAGCATAAATTTTATTTTATTTTATTTTTTTATTTTTTAAGCATATATTTTAATACCATATTGACTTAGTGCATGTGTTCATTTACAAATCAATACCTCCTAAAGTAGAAGATAGTTTAACAATATTTATTTTTATGTGGATAATATCTTCAGGCAGAGATGTAGACTATGGTGATGGAAAGATGAGAAAGAGATTTCTTCTGGCCTTACATTTGGTGGCGGAGAAGAAGGAAAGGAATGAATATCTTTACTACAAGGTTACACACCATGATAGTTCATCTGAGGAACAGAAGTAGAGCCAGGTAAGTGCTGGAGATACAGTAATTAGTGTTCCAGGTGAGATATCAGGAAACACTTGAAAATTAAGGCAATTTTAGCTGAGTTTTGAAGGATGGGAAGGACTTCAATAAGCAGAGCACAGAGCAGAAAAGTAACCAAGTAGAGAACAGGTAATCAGGTCTTAAAAGTGGACAGCTTCCCAGGGACCTGTAGGCAGACCGCCATGACAGAAGGGACAGTGAATGGTAATGGAGGTGGCTGGAACTGTTAGCAGAGAACAGAACTAAAGAGCTTTGACTGAGGCAGATGATGACAGAAAGACAGTGAAGGGCTTTAATAAGGGGCATGTCAGTGTCGACTTTGTGTTTTTGATAAGTAAGCCAAGTTGTAGCACAGTAAATGGACTCAAGGGGAAAGAGCAGTAGAGAAAGCTATGGCAATATTAAAGATTAATTGCAAATGATGAACAAAGGTCAAGCTAATAAAAAAGCACAGAGCGGTAGAGGCCAGTGATGTTTATGTGCAAATAGAAGGAAGATCATTCCTAAATTATAATGTCAATCAAACAGAATATATGATCCAATTCATTAAAATACTTTTTCAAATGCATCAATTGCTTGAAGTGAAAGTCTACTTGTATGGTTTATACTTATTTAAGCTGAGCTTTTAACATTTTAGATTTAAGTTTCTCAGGCTGAAGGTATATTAAGGGTGATAAATAAATGAAATTTATCACTAAGGGATATTTTATATAGAAAAAAACCTTTCACTGACTCTCTTATGTAATCATGTAGTAAAATACAAAGACCAAAAGCCATTATGTTTATAATCTGATCTGCAAATTCAGATTTCTATAGTTAGATCAGAGCACCACATTGACTTAAGGGATTCTTATGCTTCTTTTAAGGGATTCTCAAACATTCTAAGGCTGACTTTTTCAGCCTTAGAGACAAGCAAGACTTAGTTTATTGACACACTCTTGATTGAGTTATTTTCTTATTAAATCATAACTAGTTCCTGATAATAAACAACAGTGTACTATACCTCTACACATCTTCAAAGCTGTAGGTATTATAGATGGAGAAAGATCTCTGATTTGGGTTTTCTCCCTATACAATACCTGCATAGGGAATCTCTATCAAAGAAAAAACCTGGGATGTCTGGGTAGCTCAGAGGTTGAGTGTCTGCCTTCCGCTAAGGTGTAACCCCAGAGTTTCAGAATCAAGTGCCGTATCAGGCACCCACTGGAGAGCCTGCTTCTCCCTCTGCCTATGTCTCTGCCTCTCTCTGTGCGTCTCATGAATAAATAAATGAAATCTTTAAAAAAAAAAGAGAGAAAACTTAAATGACTTTGAACTGATATCCTGGTAATCAATTACAACAAAAATGTATTTAACAGTTATAGAACACTTTTCTAAAAGTCTCAGTAATTACAATCTTAAGGTATAAAAACTGAAAATAGCCTAGAAATGTTCTTTTTCTATGGGCTATGAGTTATTCATCCTCAATTCTACAGTTCAGCTTTCTGTTTTTATTGTGATTGTCTTTCAAATACATAAGCAGACATTCCAACCAAAAGATTTAATACTCAACTGTGAAGTAAATCAGAAAAAAAAAATGTTAACAGAATTTTAACTAAAATGAAGAGTAAACAATTTAACAAAAATAGATTTTAAAGTAGATTGCTGCTGAATATGGTATATCTGAATTATCAAATGATTTTGTTATACGTTAAGGTTACAGAGCAACATTATGAAAATTTCCAAATACCAAGAAGTAGCACCTCTGCATGTGTATGATAATGCCACAATTAAATTAACAACTATTTTATTACATAATCTGTGTAAGAAATGTGACTGTGGTTGTATTTTACTAAAAATTACTACTGGTAAGTGTTTGGGGACCATTGTGAAAAACTTCAGTAATTATAACAACTTAAAATATAAACTAAGGAATTAATTAGCTATATTATTTTTTCTACAAGGCTAAATTGTTTTGGATTTGTAGCAACATTTTGCAGCCATCTACATAAACTAGTAATCTTGCAGCACTTTGTATCTATTTACTTTTACACAAATTAAAACAAAGATTCCTAATCTTACTCTCTCCAAACTGCTACTGATGTATCATTACCTATTATTGCCATCAATAAATATCCACACCAGGAAAAAAGTCTTCAGTCATGCACTAAGATTAGTTATGTATTTAATTGACTTATATATAACTTACCCCAAATTGAAAACCACCATCTCATGCAAAGAGTACACACTGTTTAAATGTTAAAAAGAAACTTTACCTGCTCTCAAGTGTCCAACTACATCTGCAAGGCTACCCTTCTTTACTTTGGTGATGAAGGCACCAAGACGTCCTAAATCAGTCATTTTTCCTCCAACAACCTGGACAATAATAAATTTATAAGTTCCCAAAATTCATATCAAAACATAAATTTATTACTTTGAGGAATTACTCCTACAGTCTCTTACAATGTATTTAGGACTGAGTGTAGGTACATTAATAAACTGAAATATATTTTTGATTAAATGAGTGGTAGTATTTTTTTTTTTAAGTAGGCCCCCAACGCAGGGCTTGAAATCGTGATCCTGAGATCAAGACCTGAGCTAAGATCAGGAGTCAGACACTTGAGGCATCTGGATGGCTCAGTTGGTTAAAAGTCTGTCTTCAGCTCAGGTTGTGATCCTGAGGTCCTGGGACAGAGCCCCGCTTTGAATTTCCTGCTCAGCCGGCAGTTTGCTTCTCTCTAGCCTCTTCCCCAAACCTCTTGCTGTGCTCTCTTTCTCAAATAAATACAATCTTAAAAACAAGCCAGACACTTAACCAACTGAGCTACACTGGCATGGAGTGGCAGTGTAGTTTTAAAAAGAAAATATCTCATTATATTTGAGATGATCCTGTGTCCTAAGGAAGTTCATATACTGATTACTTATATTGACCTAACAATATGCAAGGGCACCATGAGTAATGTATATCCTTACAAGACAAGCGCCAGGTCTTCCAGACTTACTTACAGAAGTGTGTGCCATAGTTTATATTAGGATTCATTTTTCTTTATCCTCAAAATTCATGCCAACCATTTGAATTATAGTTCTATATGCACATGATGTACCACTGCCACATAAGTTCTTTAACTCTTTTGTATACCTTCAGTACAATATAGACCTAAGACATAATGACTATAGATTCAAACCAAGAATATGCTACTTTGGGGAAGCAATTCACCATGGTATAATGAGGAAAAGCCTAAGTTTATCTCTGCTATTGACCATCTTCATTCATGACTTCATCTGAAATATGTATGTGTTCTAATCTAACTCTTGAAGTCTGAGTTATTTTACTAAATATTTAAGACTTTTACCTAGCTTTTCTACTGTAACTAAAATTACATACATCTCAAAGTTTCTAAATTTAATTTCTCCCAATGCAGGTGCTAAGTATGTATAATTAAAAGTGCAGGGCAATTCCCAAAGCTTGAGGTTGATCCACAATTCTTTGGGACATGCTCATTAGTGGAGGTAATCAGAATTATCTCATAGCAAGAGAAATTAACGGTAATAACTGATGAGGTGATATTATGTGCATTAACTGAAGAAAAGTTTTGGTTGGATTAATAGTCAATGGTTTTGAAGAAGTCAAACTATCACACAACAATAGTATAATACATTGGTAAATAATTTTAAAGCCCAACTTTGAATGTGTTTCTAAGTTTCTGAAAGCAAATAAAAACCATGTGATATATACATGCAAACATATAATAAGATAAAATGTATACATATATTTTTTCGATAATAAAACATAATTTTTTGCAATGGGAATCAGTTAATATTTTTAAAAGATACATTTTACTCTTTTGGTATTACCATAAATTCTATTATACTTAGGAAACAATCTCTTTAATGATATTTTATGTTGCTTATCAAGATATAATAAAATTATGCAGTTCACATTATCTAACTTTACTATCATCCATTAAAATCTTTTTAATGTAAAAAGTGTCCTTGAACTTTATACTCAGATAAAAATTCTTTATTTTCCTCTATTTTATGGCAGTTTCCTAACACATCTGTATGCCATATTAATAAAATGATTTTGAAATATTAATCCATATAAAACACTAAATCTATCATTAAGACATCAGTATATTAACAAGATATATTCACAAGAAGGACATTATTTTGGAGAAGAGAGGAAGATATTTAAAAATCAGTTAGAAACTGCTGAATGCAGCCCATACTGTGATCCGCCCTAAAGAAACACTTTAAACCAGCATACTTACTTTCAGACCCAGTAATGCACCTGATTCTTTGGGCATGGTTGTTCTCTTGTTAAGAATAACACGTCCAATTAATCGGTCTCCTTCTTTAGATGGCTGCCACGTTACAGGATGCTATTAAAACATGAATAAGGTTTTTAAAAAGGTAAGTTATTTTCTTTCCTATAGACACATAATTATTGGTTGTAGTATGATGTTATTTCCTCAGGTAAAGGCTCTCTAGAAGGAATTCTTTATTCTGCTGGGTTCTACCCTAGGCTTACAACAATTTGCATTTATAGCTACATTTTATTTGTAGTAGACTCTTAAACTAAATAGTTCTAAAAGTATCAGCAATTAAGTAAATCTCTAAAAAATTGTCCTGAAATGAATTAAATTGAAATTTAAAATATATCTGCCTATATAAAGAAAAAATGATTCTGTATTTTGAGTTGTTAATATCATTAACCAAATAATATCTAATTTATATATAGTCAATTGTTTTTTGCTTAAATTTAAAATTTATTATACTTATTCAGTGATTTTTTTCCCTTCTAAACTGCATTGCCAGGATGCCTGGGTGGCTCAGCAGTTGAGCACCTGCCGTTGGCCCAGGGCGTGATCCTATAGTCCTGGATCGAGTCCCACATCAGGCTTTCTGCATAGAGCCTGCCTCTCTCTCTACCTATGTCTCTGCCTCTCTCTGTGTGTGTCTCTCATGAATAAATAAATAAAATATTAAAAAAATAAACTGCATTGCCTTAAATTGCAATGGATATTTTCTCTCTTAAAATGTACATATAATGAAATGGAGTAAGATTGTCATCTATCATATATAAAACACAGGACTATGAACAGCACACATCGTTCCCAAGCTCCAAACTTTCACTTCCTAGAAAGCTTACCGAACTAATAGGTGATGTTTCCCGGCTATGCCACGTAGCAGGATCCAACCAGTAATAATCCAAATCACCTGCACCACAGGAAAAAAATTAAAAGTGTTTAAATGTTTTAAAGTGGAGAATGCATCATTTTAAGTATGACTTCTTCATCTATAAAGCAAAGGGTTATGAATACCATAATCTTCAGTGTGTACATGCCAGAATGATACACCCTTGTATTGCCAAGGTGTGACCTGAATCCTTGGAATGGATGTGTTATAAATGCGCTTAATACTACATACTACCTTTTATTTTCATTAAAGAAACACACATAAAAAGTACTGAAAGAACTGGATTAACCCACTCCACTTTCCATCAAAAGACTAACTATACCAAGGCATAGCCTGCCATCTAGTGATAGTGGCAGAAATTATATTCATTGAACTAAGTATTAAAACTTAGTGTCTCTTTTTCTACTCTTCTGAACTATATCATATCCTTTCAAAATTAATATTTGGTCTCAATCCTCTTCCCTCATCAACTGGCAATAGGGCATACATTTTAGAACATAGTGTTTAATAAACTAAGTATCAAGAAGAACTTTTAGCAAGAGTACAATACAACAAACAGAAAATTCAATTTTACTAAGCCATAAAAGACTTTAGAAAACTTTAAAAATACTAATTTTGTAAGCATGAGCTTATGAAACTTTAATTTTGATTTTTTTGGCTTAAAAATATAATGCTAAAGAAAGGGCCTGAAAAAAAAAAGAAGACAATTAATGGAAAGCAGCAGTGCTTTCAGTATTTGCATAGGAAGAAAGGCCAGTATGGCCTTTGAAAGTGAGAATAAATGATCTTTTACATTTTAAATGTTAGATTAAATACATGAAAATTTTTCTCTTGATGGATCTTGAAAGAGAAGATGATTAAGAAAGTGAGTCAAGCATGCCAACTAACAGAAATCTAGCTTAATGTTGGGAAAATGTGTCTGGCTGATATCTGTAAAGTACATAAGCAAAGAATTGTACGTAGATGACAGGCATGGCAGATATAGGCATTATAACAGAAATGTGATAGAAAATGTAAAAATTATTAAAATCCACAGACATAAAGAAGTCTATACATTTAAGTTTCTTAGTAGTTGCTTCTCTTTTCCTTTTAAATAATATCTTAGAAAGGCTGAAGGGAGAATATTATATATACTGCAATAAATACTAAAATGTTCTTTAAATATGTCATGTACATGGTAGTATATTCTGGGAAGGGGTAAATACTAGAAACTGCATTAGCAGAAACTATATTCTATTTCTGTTTCATACAGAGTCCATATCCCTTTCAAAATCACATACTTTAAAATGTGTACATGGCTTGGTGCCAATGATTATAGATTTCTGCTCTTCTTTCGGATCACCTCAGTTAATGGAATATAAGGAAAGTTGTAAAAGGTTTTTTTTTTATCCTTTATTTTTACTCTTTGTAAAACATCATGTTTTTTACGAAAATTTTTTCTTTGAATATAGTTGACATACAATGTTAACATTAGTTTTACATGTACAACATAGTGATTCAACATCTCTACACTTTATACTGTGCTCACCACAACTGTAGCTACCATCTGTCCCCATGCAACACTATTATTGTACCACTGACTGTATTACTATGCTGTACCTCTTATTCCCATGACTTATTCATTCCATAACTGGAAGCCTGTATATTGCACTTCCCTTCACCCATTTTGCTCATCCCCTGCCCATATATTTATTTTTAAAGTTGTTTTGTCTTTAGTATTATGATACCATTCCTCTTGAAAGAAAAACTATGTATCATACTATAAAATTATAAGCAGTTTTAAGTAGTAACTACAATTATCATTCAAAAGATTGTAACAATTCACAAAGCTTTTCCCCTAAGATAGTCTGATGGCTTCTTTTTTTTTATTTTTTAAGGATTTTATTTATTTATTCATGAGAGACACACACACACACAGAGAGAGAGAGAGAGACAGAGAGAGAGAGACAGAGACAGGCAGAGGCAGGCAGAGGGAGAAGCAGGCTCCATGCCGGGAGCCCGAAGCGGGACTCGATCCCAGGGACTACAGGACCACGCCCTGGGCCAAAGGCAGGCCCTAAACCACTAAGCTACCCAGGGATCCCCAAAAGTCTGATGACTTCTTAAATGCTGAATCATTTTGAAATACTGTGATAAATTAATAAAATCACCGAGATTTGTGGGGCTTAAAGAAGAGAATTAGTCATTAAGTTGAAAGCTTAGCTGCTTTGAAAAATCTTTGAGGTTAAAAATATGACAAAATCCATCCCATTTTAAAGACTCTAAAAGAAGTTTTTTGTATTCTTCAATAACTTAGATATTAAAAACTGTACTTCTTGTTGGTATCCTTGTCTGGCTCATGCATCAACTCCTTGTATGGTGGTTCACTCTGTGTCTCAATCATCTTGTCTTAATTAAATCTGGATATAGATATCTGATGAATATTCCTTGTGCAAAAAGTGCTCCTTATACACAAAAAAAAAAACAAAAGCTTATGTTTCTAGTACGTTTTGGTGAGGATACTGAGCATATTTTAATGTAAAAACAATGCTTTCAAGTAACGTATCCTATCATCTACAACCTTTATATAATAATGATCTTGAGGGACACCTGAGTGGCTCAGTGGCTCTGCCTTCTACTCAGGGTGTGATCCTGGAGACCTGGGATCGAGTTCTGCATTGGGCTTCCTGCTTGGAGCCTGCATCTCCCTCTGCCTGTGTCCCTGCCTCTCTTTCTCTGTCTCTCATGAATAAATAAATAAAATCTAAAAAAAATAATGATCTTGAATGGAGAGTCTAATTTAATTGGTTTAATGCGATAATTTTGGTCATACATAGTACTGTTCATATATACTAAAACTGATCCTAAATGTAAATTAAGAGGTCATTCAATATTTTGGTATACAATAATATTTGTATATATTTCAGTATATAATTATACTTGCTTCACATTCTGAACAGTTTCTAAGAATTTTCTTATCACAAACTTCATCATCAGTCATTAAAATATAACAGTTTTGCTTAAAGACTTATGAAAAATAAATTCTAAAATCTAAATACGTAGTTTTAAACTTATTTTTCTTCTTTCCACATAATTACCAAATTTTAAAGATATTATTGATTTTTTAAGTACTGTAATTTGTCTTTAGAAGTCACATTTCTCTATTATTAATGGACTAGGCAACATTCAACAAAACTTCCTCCTAAAATATTCAGAATCCAGTATTTCATTAATATAAAACATTTTCCTTGATTATTTTTCTAATAGGTGATTAAAGAGATTGGTTTCAAAGTAGCATGACTACAAAATGATAAATTCAGGGTATTTGCTTATGGACTGAATTCAAAAGAATTTTGGTTCTAATGTTCAATATAACTAACTATAAAGGAACAAATTTACTATTATCACTAATTTAGGTCCAGGGAGTATATCAGATGCTTGAGTCTACTGAAATTGTTTGAGTTCATAAACTGCTGAAGTTCAATGAAGTGTTATAATTTTAAGTATTATTTTTTAAGACTTTAAAAACAGACTTTTATCCTATCCCTTGTGAAAAAGTAGTTAATTAAACTTAATAAGCACTCAACTTTCACTGAAAGAATAAAAGTCAGCTATATGACTCCTGAACCTTCTGTAAAGAGAACTAACTTTTCCTAACCCAAGTTATTATGATTAGAGAATGTAACAAAAAAAAAGAGAATATAACAATGTGTAAACATGTGCCTCTATGATTTAAAACTTTTTATCTTATTGTACTAAATGTCAAAGCACTATGGGTTCCAATAGGATCAAAATCAGTTGAACAAAAATTCTTTCTAAATTATACAAATGCATGAAAATGTAGGAGTATATTAAAACCATAAAGATAAAACCATAATTCTGTTTTCATACAATAAATACCTATCAATTTACATGATAATTACACTTGACCAAGTGGAATGTGTATCTAATGTATAGGTAGTAAAGGAAAGGTTATCTACACCAAAACCTTTAAATATTAGAAAATTTGGATTTCTTTTCCATTTCCAGAAGAAATATACAGCATATTTTTAACCTCATTATAATGAATGATGATAAAAGATGGGACTGAAACAGATTCCAAGATTGACTCACAGTAACTGTGCACAATTCCAAATACATATCCATAATTGTGCTACTTGTCATCTCAAAGAAAATTATTCTTCCTATATAGAACAGATTGTTGGTATCCAAAGAAATTATAAAATTCATAGTCCAAAAATCAGTAGAATCATCCTTATCAGACATTTCCTGTACCTCTTAAACTGTTTCCCTCTTTTATTTCTATTTATCCTCTGTAATAGGATGTGTGTTGGGACTAAGTAAAATTAAATAAATCCTAATATACTTTATTATAGCACAGCACATAAACAAAATAAAATACTTGGTAAAAGTGTCGAACAGACATTCATGTTAAATAGATACGCAGTGCACACACAAAAACCAACTCAAGTTCCAAGAATGAGTTTTTAATTTGAGACAAGGTGGGGTATTTTTACACTGAGTACCATGGTTAACACACAAGTTAATAAATACTGCTTTAGTTATAATGTAATGAAAATGTTACACATATTAAATCCTTTTATTTTACAAAGGCCTACTTTTCATAAATAGGAATTGATATCCAAAGTCTAAGAATTGAGAAAAAATCTTAACTTCTGATTAATATAATGAAAATACCATTTTGAAATAATTTCCTCTTATTTTAGAAGTTTATTGCAGATAGTTCCATGCCTATAAAAGTCAAGTGTGACTGCTCCCACCTCTAAATTAAAAATGACAGTGGAACTAACTTTGAAATAAATAAGCAATAATTTGCTATACAGCAAAGTCCTAGAAAGCCTAAATTTACTTAGGTTAAATTAGCAGTCAAGGATAAGAAACAAATATTGTTTCATAGGTCTTAGAATCCAGGCATTAAAATAAAATGAGAAGATATACTTGCAAAATTTAATAATTAATCAGTGAAATATTAAAGCCTATAAATAAATAAATACTATGTATATGCAAAATCAATATCAGTA